AGCTGCCGCCTCCCCCCACGCGGCGCGGCCGGGGGCGAGGCGGAGGCGGCATCTGGGTCACAGGCTTGGGGACAGTGCTCTGGCCTCCCAGAAGGCAAGGGTTGGGAATCCTCGCCCTACCCGCCCATGCCTGTGCTTTCCTCTGAAACCCAGGCTGGATGACGGATGGATGTTTGCTCCAACACCAATAGTTGTATTACAAAGACTTAGCAGAGGGGTTTCCTGCCCAGATATTGATCAGAGTAATCACCCCAACTGCTTTCCCTCTGGATGGCTTTTTGCTTCAGCTATCCTCTCAGAAGGCAGAGGTTCACTGGAGAGCATCAAGGACCCAACCCTACTGATGCTACGCTCCACAGCCTTGGGCAAGGTGCTGCCCCTGCCATTTTGGAATGACAACAAACATCTCAACAGGAGCGCATGAGCTTGCCCAGCACCTGCTTCTTGTCTACCTAGGGTCTCCATCTCAGCAAAGGTCACTCCCAGCTTCTAGTTCTCTGGCACTTTCTTTGATTCTGCCTTTGTCTTCACTTTAAGTGGTCAAAACCTGCCTATACTGTGTCCAGATAGTTTCATGTCTCCTTTCTTGGTCTCCATGGCCCTCTATGTCTCTCACCCGCAGGCTTACAAGAAGAGCCGTCCCTCGGGTCTTACTGCACATTTTCCCCCTGTCGTTACCAGCAGAGCTACCATTTAAATGCAGACTTGATCTTGGCCCTCTTAGGTCTTCTCTTAAAAACTTCTCAATGCTATTAAGACCCCAAAGCATAATTCTTTGGCTGGTCTAACTGGTTGCTGTCACCTCTTAGATCCAATTGTCACGAGCTCTGCATGTTCCTATCTGAATGCACTAACTCACCTACATTTGCATATGTGTTCTGTATTTAGAAGTCTCTGGTCCAGTCCATCTCCTCACCATAGCCTAAAGACTTCAACCAACCTTCAGATCATCACTCATCATCTCTTTTAGGAGCCCTCCCCCCTTTCTAAAAAATTCCTAGTCTGCTGCATGTCCCTTGCTGTTCACTCTCCCAGACTCCTGCATACACAACATTTAGGCTGTCTTATTCTTGTGAAATCATTTGATTAGCACCCATGTCTCCAACAGACAGGTCCATGAGGCTACAAGGCTGTCTGTTTCACTCATTGTTACAGCTCGGGCCCTCAAGAATCATGGGATGCAGCAGATCTCATGGTGGGATTTCTTACCCCCACCCTTACTTTAGTGTCACAGAGAATGTAAATATGAACGCCATAGAAATATGCCTTCTGGCTGGGCGTTGTTGGCTCAAGCCTTTAATCCTAGCACTCGGGAGGCAGAGGCAGGCGGATCTCTGTGAGTTCGAGGCCAGCCTGGTCTCTAGAGTGATTGCCAGGATAGGCTCCAAAGCTACACAGAGAAACCCTGTCTTGAAAAACCAATAAATAAATAAAAAGAAAGAAAGAAAGAAAGAAAGAAAGAAAGAAAGAAAAGAAAAAAGAAATCTGCTTCTGGCATATGCAGCTCACCAGGAGGGTCTCAGCCCATGGGACTCTCCTGGTGGCATGTGAGGTTGGATCATTCTCAGTACCTCACAGAAAGGCAGCTTCAGGAGAGACTAGATAGTACATTGCCTTAGGCTTGTTCCAGCCACATCTGGAAAAAACAAAAAACAAACAACAATAACAACAACAAAAAACGTATCTATCATCGTCACATCTGGACAAACAGAGCTGCTAAGAGGCCTGTGAAAGCTCCTGGGAGGCCCAGCCCTGTGAGCCAGGGCCTGAGATCTGTAGGGCACTTTGTTTACAAAGCTTCCCTGGTTCACTGGGGACAAGCTCTAAGAGCCAAGGTACATAAGAAATACAGCCTTTGTCTCGCTGGCGGGATAAAGCGTCTCTCTGGGTATTGGGTTAGCTTTGTGCACGTCACTGCCTCACAGACTGATCCCTCCTCAGGGACTGTCTGTCAGAGGTTGACACAGCAACACCCAGCTTCAGAGCCAAGTGCACTGTCCCACCTTTCCCCAGTCTCCTGGTCAATTCCCCTTGCCACCTGATCTGCCCCTCCTTCCGAATTTCCCAGGCAAATCTCACCTCACAGTTTGCTTAGCATCACTGTCAACTATCTCTCTCCTCTGGGTTTTATAAAAATCCATTTTCCAGATGAGGATGCTGAGCCTCAGGGAGCCAAAGTGGCTTGGCCAGCCTGCACAGCTGCTAAGGAGCAAAGCAGCATGGGAACCTATCTTCTGGCTCCCGAGTCAGCATTGTTTTCCTTCTTAAGTCTGACTTCCTGTCTGTCTGACTAGTGCTCCAATCCCCTTATCCTTAAGGCTCTCAGCCAGAGCTCACCACAGTCTGGGATCTGGCCCTGGCAGTGGGAGGAGTGCTCAGAGCCTCTCCTTTGAGAGTCTAGCAGATCTTCATGGACCCAGAGAGGACGTAGTGAGTGCCAGTATCTCCATGGGCTTCCTGCAGCCCCTAGACAGGATTCCAGGGCAGTCTCTTCAGGTGCTGTGGCTTTCTAAGTGAGCTGCCTGCTAGTCCTGAACACCAGTCCCAACTCCACCTGAGAACTCCCCTGTGTGGGACCTTTGGAGGTAACTCCATTCATTTTATATCAAGCAAAGGCAGCATTTCAACAGTGCTCTAAATGATGGACAGTCACCCAGAGAGGGAAAGGACCTTTGACCAGCCACACAGCGGTAAAAGGAAAATCCAGGATCCTGAGTTACATCGTGTGTGTGTGTGTGTGTGTGTGTGTGTGTGTGTGTGTGTGTGTGTGTTTTCTCTGAGTGTTTGTGTGTAGAAGAATGCACCAGATCCCCAGGAACATCGGTTGCAGGCAGTTGTTAGCCACCAAGACAGTGCTGAGAGTCAAACCTGGAAGAGCAGCCTATGCTCTACACCTACTGAGCCATGTCTCCAGCCCCACATCTACTGGCTTTTAGTTCAATACTCTTGCCAGTGCATTCCAAACGAGCATCATCCTAACATGTCTCCCTCGTAGCCTGCACTTTCAGTTCTAGATAGCAGTACATAGCCATTTATTTCATAGGTTGCATAATAGACCTTGGGAAAAGCAACCATTTTAGGATGAGGGATGTGACAGATAGAATTGAGAATGCCCCATAATGCAGCCTGTAGACTTCTAGTTTTTCCATTAAACCTTGCTGCCTCGTGAATGTGGCATCCTCCCTACAATGTGACAACGTTCATTGGAAATTACCTGTGCCAAAGCAAGAAACTGTGTGCTATAATGTAGCTACAACCTCATCCAAGTCTCACTCACACTCAGAGGCAGATATTTACACATTCATTTTAAAATAAACAAATAAATAAATAAATAAGAAAGAATAGCCTTTAATCCCAGAAATCAGGAGGCAGAGGCAGGTGGATCTCTGTGAGTTCGAAGCCAGTCTGGTCTACAGACAGGCTTCAAAGCAATACAGAGAAACTCTGTCTCGAAACCGCCCCCCCCCAAAAGTCAGTTCAGGAAAGAGTAAAGTCACTTATACAAGGAAATGAAATGGTGGGGAGGGTCAAACTAAGTTCTCTCTGATTTCAAAGACTACCATGTGCCTTATATCATAAAGGAACAGCCCAGAGACCCTGACTTTGAGTCTGACATGTGGGAGGCGCTCATGAAATATTTGAAGATGGGTAAAGGAGAGGCTGGATTCTGTGTGGATCCATATTGTCTCAGGGGGCCAAAGTTCACATAAGAGCTCTGTGGGTGATTCCCACTGATGGAGCAGGTTGCTACCACCAGGCAGATGTCCTTGGTGACATCAGAACACACCCTACCCCTTTGGTCTCAGGTCTCTGAATGTGAGGGATGTGTGTACTGCCTCTGACCCCCAGAGTCTGGCTGCCCCAGCCTGTGGCCCCTGCCACTGTTTATCTGGCTTTCTTTGTACATGAAGCTCTTCTTCCCTGAGAATTCCCCGAGGGCAGAGGCTGAGCAGGATACATCTGGGCTCTGATGCCCAGCCCAGGGTCTAGGCCACAGCAGGCATCGTTCAGTGGTCTCTGAATTGAAGCATTTATGTCTGCTGGGGGGAGGGCCCTTTGGAAAGTGCTACAAAGAGACATCTTATAAGTCAGTCTGCCAGATGTCCAGCTGCCTTCCCTCCTTGGAGGGGTCTGGTCTTCTGGAACAGTCTCTAACAATGAGCTCTGGCTAAAATGACAAAAAAGATATAGAGGGGGAAAAACCTGCAGTGACCTTTTACACCTTAGCCCCAGTACTGCCACCATCAGGAAGCCATTCTCATCAGCCCTGGCTGAGTGGCCTCTCCCCACTTAGGGGTCCTCAAAGCTGACATGCTTCCATCCAATCCAGAATCTCTGTAGCTGTTGGTGGTTACTGCCCAGGCTGTATACTCATGAAGGATAGAAGCCGGCTCTGGCCCATTTCAGCTGTCTGGCATCAACTCTGTACACTGGTCCTTGAAGACCCAATGACACTGAGTTTGAGATCTTTTTTTCTCCATCACCATGCACTGCTGGTTCCCTCCCTATCAGCAGGCACTGGCTTTGAGAATTATTTCTATAAATAGAAGTTTCTGCTAAGTAATTTTTAAAGAGTTGACATAAGGAACTATATTATACAACCCCTCCCCTAACATGCAAGGAGAGAGAGAGAGAGAGAATAGCTCCTTTGGTTTTTTGAGATAGGGTCTATCTCAAAAATGGCTCTACTACTCATAAAGATCTCATAAAGCCTGCCTCTGCCCCACGAAGTGCTAGAGTTAAAGGCATGTGTCCTCATCTGGCCATAGCCTCTTTTTAAAAAATGCTATGTATGTGTGTGCTATGTGTACCAGGGCATAGATATGGTGGTCAGAGACAAGGCTTAGAAGTCCAAGAGAGATGATCTACCTCAGTAGCTCTTTCTTTCCCTTCCATTCTCATCCTTTTCCCAGTGTGGAAACAGGCCCAGGCAGAGAAACCAAAGGCTCAAAACTGCCTGGTGATAGGGTACTTGGCCAGCATACACCAGGCTCTGGATCCAATCCCTAGCACTGAATAAAAGGAAAGGAGGAGGAGGGAGAGGGGGAGAGGAGAGCAGAAAGGGAGAGAAAGGCAGAAAGTATGGTGACTTGGTGGCAGATGTGGGCTGGGTGGCAAGGGCTTGAAGACTCTTTCAGAGTGTGAGCCTGACACCAAGCATTCACCATGCGCTTCTGCTAATCCTTGACATACTTTCTTCCTCTTGATTTTTACTAGCACTATGGACCTGACTTTATTCTTTATTCCCATTTTACAGATCAGAAAACTGAAGCTTATGGAGTCACAGAGCTGGGAACTATACAAGTTAAGATTATTTAACAAAAGTGCAACAACACTGGCAATTTGGGTGGTTTGGTGGAAGGGGCACTGGGATTGGAGTCAAGGCTCTTCCAATTGTTTTTTTGTTTTGTTTTGTTTTGTTTTGTTTTCTTTTCAGTACCTAAACCCAATTCCAGCGTTCAGTGTACTCAAAGGGAGAAACATTCCCCCCATCCTTTTGTGTACCATGTGAAAACTGCTCCCAAAGAAGGGTAAAATCGGGGAAGTACAGATGTCTTCATAGTAAATAGATTAGGGGCAAGGGAATGCAGAACCTATGCCAATGAAGTTTTCCTAAGGTCTGCAGGAACTTTCCTGGGAATAGCCAAAAGGCATAATACTCCCCTCCCAGCTGAACGCTCCTTCCATCCCAGCGTCCTGAACCCTAGCTGACCCAGAGTACCCAGAAATCTGCAGCACTGGATGCTGCACACACACCCGCACCCTGCCTGACACCTGTGTTCTGCTGTGCACACCTGAGTGTGTTGGACTCTCTCTCACCCTCGACAGCCTCAGCCCCACCCTCTCTTACCTGAGGTCTCACTCCCGACCCACGTCAATGGGTCCGTCAGACTCGCCATCGGAGCCACTGGGCGCCCTGGGCCGCTTCATGGCGAGAGCTGGCTGCGGGGTCTCAGTCCTGCGATTCTTGGAGTTG